GATTGTGCCCATTGTTTCATTCTGTTTGCTCTTTTGCCTCACTGTCATTTTGCCTTTCTCAATTTACTTTGTCTACACACTTGGAAGGAAAGAGATCAAACGCTACTTGCCGCTGTGCGCTTTGAGGTCTCTGCAGACATAACCAGCAATACACACACACGCACACCACACAATCGTTGCAGCCTGAGCGTATCCACCACAGGCAGAGAGAGAGAATGAGTGAGCAGTGGCACATGCTCGATATGTGCCGCCATCTGTTTTCTTTTTCGGTGCAGCTCCTCTGCGTGCTGTTGATATGCTTTGGCAGTGCGGCAGTGCACGCTGAGAGGAATAAACCAAAGCAAATGCAAATACCAGACCCTGTCGATCTTTTTGTGCCGCATCGAACGATTGTGGAAACACAAGGCCAAAGTCAAACGAGGGAATCTTTTGCCTACCCTTCCCTCGCCGGTGCTGGCGGAGTGTTGGTTGCACTTGCCAAGGGTAACATCTTCTTTCGATACTCCCGCCATAATCAAACTTGGGTCACTTACGCTGATGTTGTGGCGGGGTACGTTGACTCTGCGGAGAGCTGGTCGTCTTTTGTCGCTAAGGTCCGTGCAAACAAATCGAAGGCGTACAACATCTTTAACACGACCACGCAGGAGGAGCATAACGACCGTGTGAGATACGCGGTCCGACCCACAACAGTTGCAAAGGGTAACAAGGTCTTTCTACTTGTGGGGGGCTATCATCAGAAGTATGATCCTTCATCGAAGAAGTGGATTGTATCCTCACAGAGTCTTGATTTGCTTGTGGGTGAGGCCACGCAAGATAAAGTCATCCAATGGGGCAAATCCACCTCGCTTGTGCCACAGATCGAACCATCTATTAAACAACTTGACTTGGACCAGTTTATTGGTTGTGGTGGCTCAGGCGTTGTGATGGAGGATGGCACGCTTCTGTTTCCTGTGACGGCGAGGAAGATAGGAGACAACAAAGCTGTGTCCATGATCATTTATTCGAAGGACGACGGACAAAAAGTTGGGTGCTTCCACATGGGATGCTCCCGTACGGTGC